GGGGGGAGGGGGGATTGGTTAGCCCGGTGATGGGTATTAAGGAGGGCACGTACTGCACGAAGCACTGGGTGTTATACGAAAACAATGGATCGTGGATCACCACATCAAAAACCAATGATGTATTGTATGGTGACTAACATAACAATAAAATTTTTAAAAAATGAATATTAGATATTCAGAAATCAGCTCTTTCATTAAATATTTATTGTGCTTTGTTAAGTACTGGAAATATGAAAATGAGTAAGACTTGCTGTCCTCAAGGAATATACAGTTTGGTGAATAAACACATATGTATTTTATGTCTAAGATAAACTCAGTCTCTCTGATCGTTACAGGGCCATCCTGTAGGAAAGATCTGGGCTGCCCCAGCATCTTCTGAAAACTCAACCTCCTCGTCTATAAGATGAAAACAATCCCGGTCCTCCTTACTTTAAAATATAACTGAGGGGATGAAATGATAGTCTGCAAATATTTTTAAAAAACATCCTTTATTAATGTTTCTCAACTTGTGATCTACCTGATTTATGGTCACCTTGGTCACATGGTACTTGTGAAAAGGACAGATCCCTGCACTTTACCCCAGACCTGCTGTATTAGAATATCTGAGCGTGGAGTCCAGGGAGCTGCATTTTCATAATGGCCCTCAAGTGATTCTTATGCACATGGAGTTTGAGAAATTGATTTTGTGGATGCAGACCATTGTACAGGCAGTCTTATGAGAAGGTTCACATGTCCCAGACATGTCACAGAAGCTGGAATGAGCCTGAGACCTGATGAGGCCATGCAGAAAGGAACAGAGGACGGACGACCAGTTCCTCTTTGAATGCCTCTGCCCTGTGTGGGATCCAGTAACTATGGCTCAGGAGGTGGGGAGGTAGGCAAGATGTAGAAATCCCTCAATGTGCTGTGGTGAATTTTCTGCTAGCCCTATAGAACAAGGACTCAGAATATAGACTCTTATCTACCTGAGATGGTGAACTCTCTTAGTCCGCCACCACTTAAAATCTATGACACTTTCCATTTATTCAAGAAAGGTTTTGAGTACGTGTTTTTTGCTAGGCACTGTGTTAGTAGTCACTGTAGACACTGTGCTGAATCAGCAGGCATGATTTCTGTCCTTGTGATTTTAACAGGCCAACAGTTACACCAATCATCACACAGTGAACCATGTAATCACAATCATGAAAAATACCATGAAGGACAAGTAAAAAGTATCCTGAGGCATTATGACAGAGACCTAACCTAGACCAAGGGCTCAGAAAACCTAAAAGATTGGCACTGGGGGAAGGGGATGGCTTTTCAGAAGTGTTCAGACAGAAATAAATTTCTCAATTTTAAGATTGGTGAAGATCATGATAGATTTGGACAATGTTCCGTAAGAAGTTACTGAGGAAGTAAACATATTTTACTTTTTTTAGTTTGTTTTTTGAAACAATTATTTTCGAAAAGATGGAAAGATCTTAATTTCTAAAAAATAAGAAACTAAAACGTAAGAAAATAACACAAGTGTCTTGCAAATAATGTATCTGTGAGAATTTTTTAGTGATTTTTCTAATAGCCAAAATGCAAGACTACAAACTATCCAACAGTGGTGAATTATTTAAATACAGATGCTACAAGCACACAATGGAGTACTATTCAACTCTAAAAATGTTCTTATAGATGATTTATTGGTTGGTTACATAAAAAAAGGTTTTTGAACAAAATGGGTGATAGTCTATCTTTGTGAATATATTTAATAAAGACATATATATTGACATAGAAAAATAGATTCTGAGCAGTAAGGTTATTTTTCTTTGTTTGGCATGTCTGAATTTTCTAGTTTTTCTACAAAGTTTTATCCCAAGGGAAGAATGATAAAAATGTATTTTAATAACAAATGTTGCAAACAAGCTTGTACTATTTTGGCTGGATATAAGAAGTTGTGGTGGGAAAGAGTGTGGCGCTGGGAAAGAAGAAAGGACATAATGTCCATGTTCAGATTCCATGCCTTTCCTGAGAATAACAAAAAAGACTTCTTACCTCCAGCCAGAGGGCAGAAGCAGAATAAAAGTACAATGTTAAAGAGGAGAAAAATGAAGTTGTGAAGATAGAAGAGTTCCTTTTGCAGAATTAGGGCCATCCAGTAAGAGACGAGTCTGCCTTAGTGGGCAGGGGGATCTCCCCCACGTACCTGAGCACCGCAAGGGTCCAGAGGCAGCAAAAGGACTTCCGTGTGCAGGAGGGGTAGACAAAGGCTCCTGGGTTCCTTCCAAATGCAAAGGTCTGTGATTTTATCAACCTTAGCCTTTTCCCCAGGACGTGCAAAGAACCATGTCCTGAGAGACTTGAGGCTCATATTTACTGGCTCCTGCCTGGAAAGTAGACAGGAATACCTACAACTCTTATTTCCATTATATTTTATTTCTTCACTACAAATGCGGCTTGTGAAAACATACGTGTGATGCTAATATCCTTCTCATTCTTATTTACAAGGCTCATCCAATTATTTCTACGAGGCCCAGAGCTGTCCTTTATTTTTGTTCAAAATCCCTCAGCTGCAGGACTTGGTGAATGCTTACTGTCTTCTAAGAGTCTCATTTAATCCTTTTTTTTGACAGCTTGAGTACAAAGTTCACTGGCTTTTGGCCGTAAATAGTGGTGACAAAATTGAGGTCTCCCTCGTTTTTTTAAAAAAATGCATTTATCACAAGAGGTGTATTTATGGGCAGTTCACATGTTATAATAATACTGCAGATTTAAAGGTGGAGCATCATCCGAGGGCCAGATCTTGTTCCTGTGGGTATTGTACTGACCGCCCTGCATAGACCTTCCTCCGGAGGCAGGGGGCTGAGGCACCTTTCATGCATTGTGCTCCAATCTTTCCTCATCCATTCCATTTTGGACCATTGCAAAGAGCATGAGCCATTTCAGAGGGGCATTCAAAGAAGTGTGTGTGTTATTTTGACAGTGGCGCTGCAGAGACACAGGCATTTCCACTTGCCCCAAATACCATGAAAAGCATGAGAGCTAATGCTTTCAATCACTTTCATTTTCTAAGAAAAATAATGGCCTTGGTTTACTTAAAAATCTTTTTTTTAAGATTTTATTTATTTATTTGACAGAGAGAGACACAGTGAGAGAGGGAACACAAGCAGGGGTAGTAGGAGAGGGAGAAGCAGGCTTCCCACCAAGCAGGGAGCCTGATGTGGGGCTCTATGTGGGGCTAGATCCCAGCATCCTGGGATCATGACCTGAGCCCAAGGCAGACACTTAACGACTGAGCCGCCCAGGCGCCCCGGCCTTGGTTTGTTTAGACGCCCCTTCCACGCAGCCCACCAGGACGCAAACTGCCCTTGTGATGCGATTACCAGTGTGCCGCTCTTTCAGAACACAAATTAAGTGCTGAGCTCCCTCTAGTGACACAAGAGAGAGGCATTTAAGAACCTCGATAGTGTATATATTTTACAATGTGATCCAATTATCTTTAATTCCATTTAATTCAGTTACTTTCCACTCCACTTTATTTTATACAACAGATATTTCTCGAGCCAGAAATTTTACTAAGAAAGTTATAAAACTGTAATTTGAAAAGATCACTAAATCATGTGATTATAGCATAGTGTAAAAAAGACAATACTCCAGCTCACTTTGTTTGTATAAGACGCCCCCTCTCCCTGCAACACCCACACCCACACACACACGCACCAGCTCTATTCCAATATACTCACCTTGATGTCCAACCTTCTCTATTTGTCAGATAGGGGTCTCCTTCATTTGCATGCTGAGAGTAAGATGAGGGTAGCTCCACGGATCTGGAGGGAATAACTGTTACCACTACAGGAAAAATAAAACAGAGATCACGAATCATTAGGGCTATGTTTATGCCTTCTTCTTCTTCTTTTAAGGAGATAAAAGTTTATGGACTGCACTGCAAGGGAGAAGTCGGCAGGACAGCAAAGGAGAGACTGTCAGGAGGTGGTGGGGTATGCGCTGTAGTTGGGGGCGGGATAAGGAAATAGGGAGGCATGGGTACCTATGGAATTTCCTTTTTTGGTAGCTGTGCCGGGTTATAAGTAGCCCATTGGTCAGCTAGAGCCTAATGGCTATTTTGAGGTGGGTCGCCTAATGAACCTATTTGCATTCAGCCTGATGGTCACTGTGGGCCCTTTTACCTTACTCAGGTTTCTGTTGCTCAAGCCCGTTGCCTAAGAGTGGCCTTTACGTCCCCCACCCCCGCCCCGCCCTGCCCCACAGATCGACAGTGACAAATCTTTGGCATTTGGGCACAGGTCTCAGCTTCAGTAGCTGCTTCATGCTGGAAAGTGGGGGCTTCGGGGAGGAGTAGGGCGTGCTAGCCCTGCCGAAACCTGTCGGTCCGTCAGGGGTTCTGTCCGGTTTTAGACCATACCGGTGTGGTATTATATTAACGTGCTGATAATGCGATTTGACCGAAATTCCCTGGTGGCTAGGTCCATGGGATTTAGGAGGAGGGGACCGCCCCATGGTATGGGCGGAATCCCTGTTGAATCAGCATTCCTGTATGGAGTTGTCTGATTCACGCAGACGCATAGGAAAGTGTTTTGCTCGCAGATCAAAATGGCGGCTGGATTCGCAGAAACGAAGGAAGAGGAGAGGCGGGAAAGAAGCAAGATGGTTGAGAGTCAGCCAACATCAGGAAAGGGTCCCAAGCGAGTCCCTAAGGTGTGCAGATTTGCTTTGGACGAGCTGCAGACAGAGGGGGCGGGGGGGAGGAGAGAAAAGGCATCTTTCACCCTCCCAGGTGCAGGCAGTCCCCCTGTTAGCCCTCAGACCTTCAGACCACATGGGGGAGTCGTCCTGGCCAGAGACCTTAGTTGTTTGAGGAGTACTAGGGTTAGACCCCTGAAGGGCCAAAAAGAAAAAGGAGAGGGAGAGAAGGATCCCTCTGAAGGGCAAGAGGGGAAATCCCTCACCCTTTTAGGAAAGGGTGGTCCAGCTGGTTCCCTCTGGGGCTTCAGATCCTCACCAAGGAGTAACCTCAGCCAGAGGTAATCGGTTCCCCAAGGAGTACTGGAGTCTGTCCACTGAGGGAAAGTCCCAAGAAATTCCTAGAGAATCCGGGGAAAGCCCCAGGTCAGCAGAAATTCCCCGTGAGGGCCACCATATGTGGCGCAACCTGATTGGGTGGAGGCCAGCAGCACGGTGGTGAAAGAATTCACCCAAGGTAGAACAAGGTAGAGACGTTCACTGAATACACTGCAAGGGCGCAGCTGGCAGGATAGCAAAAGTGAGACTATCTGCCTGTTCATGTCGTTTTAATGTGTTTTAAAAAGTCCAAAGAGACCAACGTGGTACTGGTTGTGAGTTTTGATTTTCTAGACCAAAACAACTCATCAACTATTCTCAAAATTTGTATTCATAATTAAATATAAGAAAATTGCAAGCTAAAATCATGACTAGAACAGAAACAACTATTGGACACTTGCTGTTTCCCTCCTATCATTCCCCTACCTTAGCACCAGAATGACATTTCCAAAAAGCCCCATCTTCTCCTGTTACTGCCCTACTCACAGGGCTTGGAGGAGGAAGCAGTGCAGTGATAGGAGCTAATGACCTGGATTCACACTGCCCAGGTTCGTGTTCTGGTTCTGACCCCTGCAAGCTGGGTGATCTTGGGCAAGTTGGTTAACTGTGTCTGCAAAATGAGGATAAATAATAACAGTACCTACTTTGTAGGACTAAATAAGCTCCTGACATATAGCAAAACCCAAGCAGTATGATGTACTGTCCGATGAGGAAGGCAGAGGCCAGTTCCTGTGCTGGTTATCATACCTAGGTCTCTCATCACCAGGCTTTCTTAAATAAAGCTTTTTTGTTTGAAGAACGAGGTTTGTTAGAGTCTCCTCAATAACAAAACAAAAGCCGTGTTTGTTCCTCCCTCATCCTATTGACTCAATGGAGTCAAACTCTTGCACATGGCTAAAATTTCTTGACAGTCTTTCTGAGACTCACTTTTACAAACGTAATGCCCCACTATTTTGAATATAAATTCTTTACTGTTTCAAATTGGTTTATTCACTGTCCTCAGACATAGTTTATCTCTCCTCTACCCCTTCCTTCTCCCTCTCTCCCTCTCTCTCCATCTATCCTCCCATTCTTCCTTCCTAGATTGGCATGCACCCCAATCCTCTCTGTCACTCTCCTTAAGGATTAGCTAAAACACCACTTCCTTGGCAGACATTTAACTCAGGAAAATTATTGTGGAGTATAAAGTACACTATATGCATCTCTCAGTAACTAACTTAAAAATATTATAATGCACTTGTGTGATATTGGGGCATCTTAGGCAGACCATTCTCATGAATGGAGAATGGGAAGATCCCAGCTCTTTCATCCTCATGGTTACTCCTGTTATGGGAGAGGACACCAGGCTCAGTGTTCACCAGAGGTTTCCTGGTTACTGTCAAAATATTTCCCAAGTCTCTGATTTTGCCAAAATTAATAGGCCCAGATACTTCTAAGAATATGACACAAAGAAACTTATTCTCAGATTTTCTTATGTTTAATTTAGGAAAATTTGGCATTTAAAATTAAGATTGGTAAAAATCACCAGTTTTGATTACCCAAAGACACAGGATAATTTATTCTCAAAATTTAACGTAAGAATGTACACATTTTAATTTTTCAAAATTATCATTTGTCATCATCATTTGTCAAAATAGTCATTTGTAATCTCATTTCATCTTTCCTACAAATTCACAAAAATTATATTTCAAATGGGCCTTAAGTGACCAGGAATGAGAACAAGAGAAGCATATTTAACTCCTTTCTGAAGGTCCCAATGGGCCACTGAATAGGATCCTTTCATTAGGGCTTCATGGGAATCACTATTTCCTTTGAATGGTCTGAGGCAGGTCTTATTCCAGAAACCCAGGGCTGGATTGGATGTCTCTGCACATTCCTGTGTGACTCTTTTTGCTATTATTCAACACCTCTATCAAAGATGAGGAGTATGGGCAGAGGAGGAAAGACATAGGAATGAAGAGAGACATGTTCAGATTCAGGACAATATAATACACATCAGAGGGGGTGGCAGCAAAGGACATTCTAAAGGAAAGAAAGGGGCACAATCAGCCATGTGCCCTCAAATCTGGGTGTGGTTTTCTGGGCATTGGGAAACCTCTGGGAAAGAGATGAGGGTTTTCCATTATTGCAGGCTCTCTCCTGCTGCTCTTAGTGGAGGACTGATTCCAGGGAGAAAATAATCTTGGAGTAATTATTAAATAAAGGGAAAATATTCTTCAGAACAGTCAAGAATATATGAGTTCATACAGCTATTCGTCAAACCATTAAACACCTATTACATCCAAGATTCTGGGGATACAGTTTTAAAGGACACAGCCCTGTTCTCAAGGGGGTTATAGGTCAATGAGGGACAGAAAATAATAATAACAACAACAATAATAATAACCATTTATTAAATGCCTACTCTACGTGAAACTTGTTTACACTTGACATTACTTAATCTTCACAACAATCCGATGATATGGTTAGTATTATTTTCACCTTATAGATATGGCAACTCAGGTACAGAAAGCTTAAGTAACTTGTCTAGATATCCACAGCTAGCAAATGACAAAATCGGAAATTTGAGCCCAGGGAGTGAAATACTAAAACCTTTGCCCATAAGCTCTTATCTTCCCAAACAGTGCTTCATGGATTTCCTTGGGAAGCATTGTATGGAATAATTTCAGTGTGTCAGTGTTGTACAGGATCTGTGGATACCTGGGGTTGGATTCACCACAAAGATGGGGGCCAAAGATAGTTATGAGGTAGTGTGGTAAGTGTTAGTAGAAGTCAACATGGGAACTCAGAGAAGGCATTGGTTAGAAAAAGCCTCCCGGAAGAGTCAATACCTGGCCTGAACCTGATAAATGAGTAGAGTAGAGATCAGACAGGCAAAGACAGAGTGAGTAAAGTGCCTTCTGGGCAGAAGAAGCTGGATGTGTGAACACTTGAAAGAGCATGGTTTTCTGAGTGAATGGAAGTAACCAATATAGTATGAAGCAGGGGCTCAGGTAAGGACTAGGAGAAGAGAGAAGAGAAATGAGAAAGCTGAATAAGCCAAGGCCAGATAATGAAGAGTCTCTTTATTTAATATTTTTAATGTTCTATTATTTCTGTAAAAGTGAAATGTGTTTATTTTTTGAAAAAAATTCTGAGATTATAGGTATTATAACAATATATAGAAGTATAAAGAAAAAAGTAAAAATCAGCTGCGCTCTCTCCATTCTGAGATGACAACTATTGGCATTTTTATTGAACATCCAGTATCTTTCTACATGTATATAAACATATGGTTATTTGTGTGTAAATATATAAGTGGGATCATACCATGCATGTTGTTTTGTGACTTCCCACCATTATACAGCAATGACCAGAATCTTGGGCCTTTTTCTGAAGAGAATAAGTGGAGGAATTTCAACAAGAGGGTAACATAATCATATTTGTATATTATGAAAGAACACAACAGCATTTATAGTGTAAATTTGAGGTAATATGGTGGCAGGAAGATCAAGGAACCCAAGGAAGAAATGATGATGACAGGAACCAGGCAATGGTGGTGGGACAGACACAAGGGATGGACTCAGGTGATAGGAGGTGGGCTCAGCGGCCTCTTTGTGCAGACAAGGGCTGTCCCGTGGTGGGAGGTGAGAACTGAGAGAGAAATCTCCACTGATTTCTAGGTTGTTGGCTCTGGACTGGATGTGTAGGTATTAGTACCATTAACTAGCAGTTTGGGGTGCCTGTGGGATATCCAATTGAAAAGAACAGGTAAGTATTCAAATATATAA